GGACATAAGAAGGTATAAATAGAGGCATACAAATGGACTGAGAGCAACATAAATACAGGAATGGATTAAAGCTATATAAAGCCTGAGGAACATCCCTGTATAGGTGCTCACCACGACTCCTTCACCGCTCGAAGGCTTGTGGCTTAAAAAACAAACATTTCATTTGACCAATTGGTATATGTAACTTTGTTTTCTTTAGATATAACTGAAAAAGCAGTAAACAGTATAAGATAAAAGTTGCAGATAATATGTTATCAATAGCCACAAAGAAATGATATAATATTCTGGAATGTCCAAGTTTGAATAAATTTGGGCCTGTTCCTAACTATAAACTTTACCTCACTGTTTCAGTAAAAAAAAAAAAAAGAAAAAAAAAAAAAAAATATATATATAAATATATATAATATAATAATAATAATAATATTAATAATAATAATTAAAAATTTAAATGATGTGCTTTAAGCAGCAAAACTTAGATTTATTTACTGCTAGGCCATACTCGACAAATGAGATACCTTCAACCTTTGGAGGCTTGTAATTTGCCATACTAGAGATAACACTTTTTAACAGCAAAGGTGAAAGTGAATGTCAATACTTACACATGTACACTGATCATGCACATGTGTGTACACACAACACACAAAACACAAAACACACACACACACACACACACATTGATATTTCAATAAAAGCATCTTTCATTATCCAAACAAAAATACTGTACCTGGAACAAGGTGATACCAAATATGACTCCAGCAGCCCAATAAAGGTTTGATTCTAAGAACTGAATGATGGATGTCACGCAGCCTCCAGTGTAAATGGTTTCTGAGGCTTCATGAGGTGTTACATTTGATTACACATGTAGGACAGTCACTGGATTTCCATTATGTATTCATTCTACATGGTTCTTAAACTCTAACAAGAAAAAAATGGTAACTTACTTTTTTGTTTTGCATACCATACCCACACATAAAGTCAAAGTGTGTCTGCAAAGATATAAAACATTTTATCACATCAAAATTACTGATACGCATAAATTATTACTTTAATGCTGAAATCTGCTCTTCAGTATTCTCACTTATACCTTATGTAAACCTGGAATGAGAAAATGCTGATTTCATGGATTTAAGGATTGATACGTACCAAATTTTTTCTGTTCAAGCAACAGGAAGCTGGAACACCACATTTCTCAGCACTTGGGCTTGACTCTGAGCAGTTGAAGTATTCATTTGCATTCCAGTCCAGGTAACCTTCTACTGTGATTCCACAACAACCAAACTGAAACCAGGAACCAAGTTTTTTTTTATAAATGTATACTCGTTAATGCACACATTTGTACAAAAATATCCTGCCTTCCCAATGATACTTGGAGAGCATATATACTTAACCAGTTCACAATGATTTTAGTTCATTAATTTTGTTTACACATAAATGGCTCCACGAGCGTTTAGACTCAAAGTAGTCATTCACGAGGCTTGCCTGAGCAAACACAATGCTTTGAAAATTTAAAGAATGAGAACAAACATGTCAGGTCACGCAGGTCAAGTAAATGACTCTTTGGTGACTAAGCATTTGTGGAGCCATATATGTATAATAGACTATGTGTGTACTTTGCACCAAAGGGTTAAGTACCTACCTATCTATCTTTATCTATATCTCTATACATATAAAATCATGATGGCTTGATGAGGTGATCCCAAACCAACATAAGTGACATGGGAAACCTCGTATATTCTAACTTACTGGTTAGTTACTAGCTTTTCATAAACCTTCCAATTTATGGTTAACAATAACCTAATACTGCTGGTACATGTACTGTTCAATGCACTTTTGGCTGTGAATTTTGTTTGCACTTATATGGCTCTGCTACCACGAGTTGGTGGCCTTGACAGATTTTTTTTTTTCAAATCAAGGAAAAGCTTAAACAGCTGAGATAATTGGTGTTAATAAGCTCTTGCAGAGCCATCAATTTGTAAATAAAATGAGAAGAACTAAAAATGTTGTGGACAAGGTATGTAACATACACGCCATCCAAGCATCACTGGGCTTAGATACATACTATTCATCTAAAGACAGCTGGCTGAAATGATAAATTTGCAAAGAATAAAGAGAAGAGAAAAAATATTATTAAGCACAATGAGAGGATATTCAACCCATAAAGATAAACAAGCACCTCAGTCTGAAGGAAGTCAACAAAGTTCTGGGTGTTTTGGCTCTCCCTGTACTCTTCGATGAGGCGCTTTGACAGCAAGTGTTCAATTATCTCCCTAGACTTCCATGGGAAAATGATGCAGGCAATAGCAAACATCAGTTCAGCAATTAGGAAGATCGTCAAGCTCCAGAAGTACTGTTGAGGAAAGAAATCATTACTCCTTTTCTGGAGTTTCCTATATATTATTCAAAATATATCTGAAATCCAATTTCCCCTAGCACAAAGAAAAAAACAAATAACAAAAACAATTAAATAATTCTCTCACCAGCTTCAGTAGACAGAGGTTTTCACGCAATGCCCCCACACACCCTGCGAAGGACACGATGAAGATAATGCTGCCGAGTACCACCATTACTCCTGACAGATCTGTGATGATGATGTAGGCTGTTTCCACAGACTTGAGGCCGTGCAAGTCCTGAGCCGTGAACACAACTCCGTACAGCCCTATAGCCAACACCAACATTCCAAACAACTGCAAAAAGAATAAGGATATTCATATAACATAAATAAATGTAGATATATAAAAAAAAACTGTGAGGGAATGTAGGATATAAGAATGAGATTCCTGATGGATAAAAGGAAAATGCTACTGTCACTTGGTGGTAATGAATTTCTCTTCTCTGCCTTTCTCTGATATAAGGTAAACTGTAAAAGCCTATCATGTGCATGTGGCTGGAAAAAAAATTGATGTGAAGGTAAAATCCATGATGATTTGCAGACTGTTGTCTCATCTCCATATAAAACTTTAACCCATTAATGCTGTTATCTTTTGAAGTTGAATATAAAAGATTCCAGGCGGCTACAAAATCGGCAGGCAGGGCTGCCCCAGACTCTGCCTGCCCGCCGGCCACGGCCCGCTGCTGCGTTGGAGCGCAAGCCCCAATACAGCGTCACTGGCGGGACGCCCAGCAATGTTTATTTTTTTCTGGTGTCTCATATGTGGGACACCCATTGTTAGTGGGTTAAAGTTGTAAATGTATCTTTAGACCTTTATCTGAAGTACATGTTTCTTCTTGACAACTATAACTCATGAATATAACAGAAAAGGGGAGGAAGAAAACGAAAAATGTACATTGTCCTCATACAGCACAAAAATGATTTTTTTTTTTCTTTTCTTGTTTTCTTGTTTTCAGGTGTGTGTTCTGTATACATTTCTGATATTCAAAAAAGCTTTAACAAAAACTGTGAAATAACTGAAAGTAAACTGCAAAATATAGCTGTAACAGTAAAACAAAATCAGCATTTTTTCAATAGCTAAAGATCCACTAAATTCAGCTTGATATGATGTGAACAAGCAGCAAAGATGTTTTGATATCATCCTAACATCTGAAATAACACCTCCGAACCCTTCTTATCTCTGGCGATTCTATGCCACACTGATGCATGTCTGTCTATGTTGCTTGGTACAGTGATTGACACAGACCTCCTGCAAGATGATGATAGAAAGAAAGAAACAAACATATAAAAAAAGAGAACAAAGCTTCTTCTTGACTATTACGGCTGCAACACTTGCTCTAGAATTTGGGCTATGTAACTTAACCACAAAATGATACTCAACCTCAATAGCCTTCAAAGCTTCTATGACACCTACCTCGAGTAACAGAACTATGAAACTGCTATGAAAGTACGATGAAGAAAAGTGAAGTTTCTGATAATGTAAACTATGAAGGATGAATTCTGAGATAAAACGCAAATGAAATGAGAGCTAACTGACATTTACATAAGCATCAGATTTTTATACGAAACTTTATTCTGAAGGTTTTACATACTTTTCATTCATCTTTTCCCTATAAACATAATGAGTTGCACTTCAAAATGTTAACATCAGTACTAAAGATGACGAGGAGCCCCCCATCAACCTTTTTCTCAGGCAGTGCCTAAAGGACATGCCCAGTTATGGCAATCTAGATTATTGAATAAAGTTTCTGACATGGAGATAGTGACTCTGGCAAGCGCGTCCATATTTTAAAGAATTACCAACTAAGTATAATACATAGTGTGTAAAATGGGATGATACCAATAGAATAGTGTGTAAAATGGGATGATACCAAGTTTAATAGAATATTGTTTCTCCATTCAGGTAAGAAAAACTTTAAATTACTTTATTTATTGCCTTTTGAAACCTCTTCTGGATTCAAATAATATAAGAAAATTGGGTACAGCTCTGCTACCACTGAATCTGATACCGAGAGATTGTATTGCATTTCCTGTCCTGATACAAAAAACTATAGTGAAAACAGTGGCATTGATTAAGAGTATCTAGGCATCAAAGAATGACCATGGCTTCTGCTCTATGTCCCAACTAAATATCTTCTGACATATGTGTCAAGACCACCCTGGTGATTTATTGTCAAATAATGAACCATTCCAAATCCTTCTCTTGTCAGAATATATATGGTAGAAGTTTGCTAGCTTTAGCGGGAACACGGCAGGCATCGAAGCCGTGGCAATTGCTAGATGAAGATTTGCCAGCCTTCTATGCAGTCTTGACATACTACTTCTCAAGCCCCCAGAAATGTTTTATCTTTATTTGTGCATTGATATATTTATGGTGTGTGTGTGTGTGTGTGTGTGTGTGTGTGTGTGTGTGTGTGTGTGTGTGTGTGTGTGTGTGTGTGTGGTGTGTGTGTGTGTGTGTGTGTGTGTGTGTGTGTGTGTGTGTGTGTGTGTGTGTGTGTGTGTGTGTGTGTGTGTGTGTGTGTGTGTGTGCCACGTGTGTGTGCGTGTGTGTATGTGTGGTGTGTGTGTGCATGTGCGTGTATGTGCACATGTGTGTGTGTGTGTGTGT